TTTTTCCTCTCCTGGACTCCATAAAATCCTAATTTCTAAACAATTCACCTTCAGATTACCTAGTCTTTTTTTAATAAGGGAAAGAGAACATCACTGCAGGTTTGAGGCTTGTGTGTTAGAGGCTTGGCAGCGTGAGCCTTGGGAAGTGGTTTCCTCTGGGTGTGGAGCCGGCAGAGCGTTTCCTCCCGAGGCTGTTGGGACTGCTTCAGGCGGTGCCGGTGTTTGCCCCTGTTGCGGTGTCTGTCTGCTCTGCAGATCAGAGGTTCCTTGGAACTTTCTGAACCATGGCATCTGTCTTGGCAAAGACTGCCAGCCTGGCTCCTCCAGGGTTCCATGGCCTCTGTCTTTAGAGGATAAAGAATCAGACTTACCGACGTGGGGAGGCGCAGTTTTTACGAAGGATGCGGGTGTCTCTTTAGTGCAGTTAGACCGGAATCTGATTCTGTACAGATTATGTGGTGTTTTTTTTCCCCCACCTGACTTGAATGCTTTATTTTCTTCATGTTGGTTTTGTTCTGTTGTTTGAGAGATTTCCAGTTTAATCTAGTTTACTTGTACCTACCAACCTAATTATTTTTTATTTGAGTAGTAATGGAAGCATTAGATCATATTTACTATGTGGCTAAAGCTGTCACTGGCAGATGAATACTGAGATGGCATTGAGATCTGTTTTTAAACTATGAGCATGATCGGGTACAGATGAAGCATCTGAAATGGCAGCGTTGGTGCCGCTTTGGCGCTTGGTGGACCTCTGGTTCTGAGCTTGCCAAAGCTGCTGGGTAACAGCTGAGTGGGTGCTGGCAGGTCACTGTTCTGGAGGACCCTGGTTTCAGCGTCCTCATCAGTCTTCTGAGTTCAAGTTCTGAATTTTTTCCTTCTTCGGTTAAAATGAATGAAAGACCATTTCACTTTGTGACTGCACCTCTTAAAATAGTTCCTGAAGGAAGGCTGGTAGTTGCATTCTTTTACTGTAGCATAGTTCATGAATATTTTGTTAAATTTTTTTTTTAATGTTTAAAATTGAGATTTCTTACTGCATCCAAGACAGTTTCTATACCTATCTTATAAAAAGTTTAAAAGATGGGAGGCTGGAGTTGCTGTGGTGTGTTTTCCAGACGTCTCGGTGACCGTTCCTCAGTGGTGGTGCCAGTTCTCTGGGTGTATGAAGAGCTGGGTTAAATCACATGTCTGTCACTGAGGCCTTGACCTCCACGGTTCTGTTTCCTCTTCTGAAAAAGGAGAATACCACTACTTATCGTCAGGATGGTTTTAACAAATCAACTTGGAAGTACTTGGGAGAACCTGTAGAGGACTCGTCAGTACGAAGCGGTCAGTTGAGTTGTTGAGGTTGGGGGTGGGAAGACGGGGAGTCCCGGCCTCGGCAAAGCCCTCTTCTCAGGACGGTCCTAGACACGGGGCCGTTGTCACGGAAGAGTCCTTCATGAGAGTCTCCTGCTGGACCCAGTGATTCTCCCGCCGTTTGACCGTATCTCCTCTTTTATCAATGTTTTCCTTGTGGCAAACAGGAAAATATTTTAACAATTAAAAATCATTCATATTCCTACCTTCAAGCACTTTTATTCTTTCCTAAGCAAAGTTTAGATCATTCTGTAAATAAACTTTTATATGCTTTTTAGAAAAACCTTTTACCATTTAAAACATTTACTTGGCAAATATAATTTTCAGTGGTTATATACTTTTATCATTTGGATATATCATTACTAAATTATACAATCATTGTTAGGTATGTAGCATTTTTATTTTATAAATCTTGAAGTAGACAACCTTTTAGGCCAATTTTCATCTTTTTTCTGAAGGTGGAATTATTGGGCCAGTTATCCTGTGGGAAAGGTGGTGCCAATTTCTGTCACATCTCTGCCCACACTGGGCATTCCTTCGTTATTTGTGGGGCACAACGAATCTGGCATTCAGTCAGAATGTTAGCTGCATGTGGTAAAAGTCTAATAATAAATAGGGAGTCTAGCTCCGCTGGTAAAGAATCTGCCCGCAATGTGGGAGACCTGGGTTGGGAAGATCCCCTGGAGGAGGGCATGGCAACCCACCCCAGTATCGTTGCCTGGAAAGTCCCATGGACAGAGGAGCCTGGCGGGCTGCAGTCCACGGGGTCACAGGGTGGGGCACGACTGAAGCGTCTTGGCACACATGCAGTCTGTTAACAAAGGTGTGATTTGTGAGGCAAACACCAGCAATGTCGGCGGTCTCTCCACCCTGTTGGATTGTGATCTTTTACTCCATTTCAGAAAACCTGAGTATTAGCTCTGCACCCCAACTCTTAATCATTCCTTGCTCTCTGCTCCTTGGTTGAGAAACATGACCTACGTGTGTCATGTGCACCAATGCGGGATGGGTTTGGGTCCACCCTGGTGTGTTCCTGGTGGGAGCATTGAAATCCAGTGAAAAGAACGTACAGGGCAGTTTCGTGTGGGTCCTCTCTCTGAGCTAAGAATGCGGTGACAGACGAACACCCTGCCCCTGGGCAGGCAGCCACCCTCATCCACCCACCCTTCTCTGGGGTTGCTGTGTGATAGAGGAGACTTTTTTAAAAGTTAGAAAAGTCCCCTTTCTCCCTCTAATAAAGTGGATGATGTGAGAGCAAAACGTGGCCACACGGAAGGAAGAGCAGAGCAGCCAATGTAGACGGGCCGGGGAAAAGCTGCTCAGACCTGACGACGGGAGGAGGGCTGGAGAGGGCGAGCGAAAGGAGGGGTTTACTTTGTACTGGAAGAGGGTCCGGCTCCTTGCAAGCAGTTGAGTCAGCCCTTCAGAGTCTAGAGAGGGAAATGCTGCTCCAGGAAACTGGGTTTCTCAGATGTTCCTAAGACAACAGATCCTAAAGGGTCTCCAGGTGGGTCCGCAGAGCAGCGGGGAGGAACCTAGCTCCCACCAGGTCCCGCCACTCAAGACAGCGGAGCTGGGTGTCCTCGGAAGGCCCACAGCCCCACTCAGCCGCAGCTGAGCTGAAGCCAGCCCGAGTCGTGACGGTAAGTCTCAGGCTGCAGTGAGTCCTTGCAGAGAAACCTTCCCAACGAGAAGCCGGGGTGCGGGCTGGAGGCAGCAAACGAATGAGGCCGACTGCCACAGGCTGAGCATTCCAAACCCCCGTCCTAACAGGCGGCTGAGAACACGGCCTCCCGTTCCAAGGACAGACAGGCTGGGACAGTGGCCTGTGGAGCCCACAACAGTGAGGCCAGAGCCGTCTTCCCTGATTAATCATTTGTGTTTTCATATCAGGATAAAAATCACTAGCAGTCATGGTCTTGCTGCTCAGGACACTAGTTCGAAAAGTACCTCTACATTACCTGGGACCTTATTAGAAACGCATTCTCAACCCCAGACCTACTGCAACAGAAATCTCTGGGAATGACACCCAGCAGCCTCGAAACAGTCTTCCCAGGGAGTGGCTCCTGCCCAACCAGCTGAACAAGGACTGGATGAAGTAAAGTAAAAGTGAATCAGAAAGACACGGCGTGGCAAAAGCTGTGGACACAGAGTCAACGTTTTATGGCCTCAAACGGGAGAAGGGATCATACTTCAAAGATAGGGAATGAACAGCTTCAGTTTTGCATGAAGGGTGGCAGACAGAGCTGAAGGCCTCGGGGCCTCTTCCAGAAGTCATCCGTTCCGTCCCACTGAGCTGAGACAGACAGGAACTCTTGCTCTCGTGGCCCTGTTTCTTGGGAGAGGCTCAGAAGTGGATGAGGGTCTGCGTCCCTGAGAAGAGCTCTGAGCGCGGGAAAGGACAGAATGAGGGAGTGCCTGGGAGGAGGCAGGAAGGCTCCGAGCGTCCAGCAGGGAGTCGGCCGATGCCTCAGCCCCCAAGCAGGGACTCTCAGAAACGGCGTCAGCGCCTGGGCTGCAGGAACAGTGGAAGGTGCTGACTAAGCAGTACCAGCCCTGCACACTGGGGAGCTGCTTCCGGGTCAGTGTCCACCCGTTACAACACCTTGGTCCTTCACGAGGTCATCTAGTTCCAGGCCCTCTTCACAGCACAGAAGACTTGGCCACACAGAGCCACCATCCCCCGGGCTGTCCCTCATCCGGGGCCTCGGCTGAGGGGAGCGATGACAAACCACTGCAGAAAGAGCCGGGCGGGGTCTGGGCCCACTCGGGTGGGGGACCTCGGACGGACACACACAACTGGCTGCCAACACAGCCGAGGCCTCGCCACCACCGCCCCCCACCCCCCTTGGCCATCCACCATTCCGGAAGTCACGGTCCTGGGCTGTGGAAGGTCTGAGCGTTCCCAGGTGTCTTAGCTGGATTCAGCCTGGTTTACACTGTTCTTTGTGACCCACAAGGAGCCAGTCGACAAAATTGTCATCACGGTCCAGAGAAGCGTTTTCAGGTATGCGTTCTGAATCCACCAGGTGAGCATACGCTCGGCACACAGGACAGACACATCAGGCAGACAGACCCAGGCGGGGGAGTGTGCACAGAAAAACGAAGGCCCGGGGTAATCCTAGGCCACTTCCTGTGGAGACTGGCAGCTGGAGCCGATACACAGTTGAGAAATCAGCCAAGGGACTTACCTGGCGGTCCAGTGGTTAAGACCCCAACTTGCCGTGTAGGGGACACAGGGTCGATCCCTGTTTGGGGAACTAAGACCCCACAGGCCCAGGAGCAACTAAGCCCGCAACTAAGCCAGAACCAGAGAGTCCAAACGCTGCAATGAAAGATCCTGCGCCACCCAACGCAGCCAAATAAAACACACACACAGCAGGGAAGGCTGAAGAATGCCGAGGTGCCGAAGGCATCAGTACAAACGCGTGGCTTTTAAACAGATGCATGACTTGGCAGGCGCTCTCCTAGCTGCCTCCTAGGAGGCAGATGCTCTCCTAGCTGTCCACGGGGCCTCGACCCAACAGCCCGCTAGCAACAAGCTCCACACGCCCCTCGCTGGCAGCTCCGGCCCCAGCACCACGCTTCATGCCCTCACACCTTCCCTTACTTCTTCAGTTACTGCTCGACAGGACCAAACGTTCATTAGTAGCTGTTTATTGATCAATGGTTTTGATATAAAGTTATTTCAGATCTTCAGAATTTTGCCCAAATGGAATCACAAGCATTACAAAGTTTTTCTCTTAAAAATAAACAAGGGATTGGGGGCAGGTTGGGAGGGACCAACCTAGTAGTAGTGGCATTTGAGAATAAATTAACAAAAAAAAAAAAAATTTAGTATTACCATTTATTGGTGACAAACACTAAGTTTTACTTACATTCCATGGGGAGAAAAAATTCCAGCGTAAACAATGAATCCAAGCAGTACTTAACTCGCAAGGCTGCCGTGCTTGTCTGGGCCGTTGCGCGGGGCCTCACCGCGCTCATGTCTGTGCAGAGCAACACGACATCAGAAGCAACAGAGTTACAGAGAGAAACGGGTCGTTCTTTTCAGCCCTCCATGGAGATGTAATCAACAGTATAAAGCACTCAAGGAAAATCAATCTGCAGTTGTATATGTGCTACATGGAGACCATATCCTGTAGTGTAGTGAGAGCTATGTGTCCTCAAGAGTTGTATTATATACACACAATTTAATAATCTTTAAAACAAAGATCAAAGTTCATTTAAATCCTGGTGCATTAATGAAAAATAAAATAGAAAAGGAACCAAATGATCGGTTAAAGTTTAAAATTCCTAAGTTGTCCAATTTATACCACTGTGGGAGACTTCGTCAAGGCCAGGACTGTTTCAGCTAAACCAGACGGCACACAATTTGCATCACTGAAATGGTCCTGGCTTAAGTCCAATGAAATAAAAATGTATAACCACATACACATGGATATGATCTTTGCCGGTTAGATTACTGATAAAGTCAGTCTTAGACAAGTTTCTAAACTGTGCTATGTAACTAGATACAATTGAGAAACTCTCAAATGAAAATTTATATAGTGTCATTTCAATCAAAAGAAACTAATGAAACTAAGAATACATCTCTCTTCTGGCAGAGAGCAGTGGTGTGTGGGTACCGCAGGAGGTGTGGCCGGAGTGCGCCGAGCAGCTCAGCTCCGGCCCGGCAGGAAGCGTGTGTGATTTTCTCCAGTGCTCCCAGCCCGGGAGCAGGCGGAGGCCTCGCAGCGCGGTGTCCAGGGTTTCCCCAAGTGTTCTGAGTGAGCCAGTCTGAGAAGGGGCGTGTCTTCTGCTGCTTCTTTCGCACGGCAAGAAAAAAATAAAAAACACCCAAAACAAACAAACAAAAGAACCCCACCAAAACCAACACTCAGGTGCCTGGGGCACGGGCCTGCGGTTTCCCAAGGGAGCCGGGGTGGCTGTGAGCCGCCCAGCCCCCACCTCCTCGGGTCCCGCCGTCTTCACCACTGCCGTCTCCAGGCCTTTACCCATCGTGTCTCTCGGCCCACTGGAGGTATCAGAAATTCCAAATTTTCAAAGCAGTTTCAGCATTTTCAGTATATATGTTGGGATTTTTCAATGATTCATGGCCAGGTAAAGTTCAGCACCTCCCACACCTTTAAGGAAGAAAAACATGAAAATGATCTAAGTTTTAAAATTTAAGAGAATTAAGCCCAGTCATGTTAAAAATGGAACTAGCAGATATCAAGAAGCCTGCTAGTTCAGGCCCTAGTTTATGATAACTGATATACACTGGGGGCTGGGGGCACTTCCCTGGTAAAGAATCCGCCTGCAGTGCCGGAGACCCGGGTTTGATCCCTGGGTTGGGAAGGTCCCCTGGAGAAGGGATAGGCTGCCCACTCCAGTGTTCTGGCCTGGAGAATTCCATGGACTGTATAGTCTGTAGGGTCGCAAAGAGTCGGGTATGACTGAGCGACTAACACAATGGAGTGAAAACAGCAAAGGAGAGAATGGGGAGATAGGATGTTACCTCTGGGGGGTGGGGGGGGGGGAATCAGGAAAGAAATGTATTTGCATTAAAACAATACACAGGAAACTAACCCAGAGAATGGTGTGGCTGGACCGCACGAGGGCGAGACTGATCACCCTGGACGCCTTTTAGGGTGACTGTGACTCGCACCACGTGACTGTGTTACCTAGTTAAAGATTTTTTTTTTTTAAAGGTAGCACACTCTGCCCAAAACTCGGAAACCTTTCAGGGGAAAGGGACAGAAAGTGACTAGTCAACAAGTGTTTCACTCCTAAGCTGAGCAGACAATTTGAATTTAATGCAAATGAGGAAGAGAACTGCCTTTCCATGTAAATCAGCTCACTCACACAGACATTGGTCCATTTCCTGTCCTTGGCATCTCTGTATTCTGTTGGTCCAACTCAGACAGCAACTTTAAAATGTTCAGTGCAGCCTAGTGAGAATGAAAAGTCAAAGTCAAGCCATGCCACCACTCAGGACTACAGTGCACGACACTCAACGGCGACCTGGGGGCTTCTACTGCCCGACAAAGTACATGGGCCCACTGAACACCCCTCTCACGCTTGCATTTCTAATTAAAAATACAAATCAAAAAAGTTATCCATGGTTACCTCACTGAATCACACCCTCTGTTAATTTTATTATGTATTACATTACAATATTTTCATCCTGTGGTCACCAGACTACAAATTTGATATCCCCACTTTAATGTAAAACCTATGTTTCTGTGTTAGCATTAGAATACATTCCCCTCAGTGACATAATGAATGCATTATATTTTATCAGATACCATAGTTTATGTCTATTAATTTAATCAATTCCTTTTCTTGGTTTTAGTATTTCTTAACAGTAACAATTTCATCTGAACAGAACATTAAAATGAGAAGCTTTCCAAGCTGCTGGAACTTGGGGATGCAATTCCTTGTTCTGGTCAGAGGTGAAAGGAATACAGTATCTGGAGCCTTTCAGGATCTGAGTCCCCCTCAGATCAGCAAGGGAAGGCAGGAGAGGGTAGGCCAAAGCCCATGAGTTCTGATAAACAGATGAGACATCACGCCAGTAATCTAGAAGTCTTCAGAGATATGAACTCTACAGAGCAGTCCACTGTCCCACAGTCTGCGGAGAACCCTCTCCCTGTCTCCCTGAGGCCAGCAGCAAGCAGGGGACGTACCATGTCGTGGCAGGACTCCACGTCCTTCCCGATACCGTGGCTGATCAGGGGCGGCTGAGAGGAGCAGTTGATAAGAGATACAAATTCGTTCTTGTTGTTTTTGGGGAAGTCTTTGTATTCAACCTACAAAGGAGAGGAGAGCTGAGGCAGGGACCGGGCGAGGAGAGGAGGCCGAGGGGGCGCAGGGCCGTGGCTCTGGCTCTGTGTCCCTGTCTCAGCGTGGAGTGTCCACACCAGCTCCTGCTCTGCGGGCTCAAAAGGCCACCGTGGGGCCTGCTGTGAAGGAGCAGGCATGATACCAGAGCCCCAGCTTCCAGAATCTCCCAAGAACCTAGACATCTACTCAAAAACCCTGGTCTGGAAGCTGTGTCCTTTCCTTGCAGGCAGAAAGGGCCAGCACAACACAGCTGTTCTCACTGCAGTCTAAACTTGTAACGACCACTGGATTAGAGGCTTCATTATGATGGTTGCCCTGGAATTTTAAAATTCACCAAAGGTTGAGAATATTCTTACTGTCCAGGGTTCTAACACTTCCCATGCCTCCTCCCTCCCTCAGAATCACCCTTCACCAGGCTTCCCCCAACCACCCACCCAGACAGAGAGCTTGCTTTAAGAAACAAGGTGCTTCACTCCCAGAGGGGATCGCGCTGAGGTACAGACCGCCAGCCCGAGCCGGACGGTTACCTGGAAGCCCTGGACTGTGGAGAGGTAGTCCAGCTGCTCAGAGGGTCTCGTCAGAGGTCCGTGGGGCGCGTGGCCTGAAGAGACGTTACTCTTTAAAACGGTCTCGGCTGTAGGCGAGGTGCCCCCATACAAGAGTTCTCGGGCTATCATGGCAGTTACCGTGGCCTTGGCAGGGTTCGGAGCTACCCTGGCGAAATCTTTGGTGTGGTGTCCTTGACTGACTCCCACTGCCTGGGCAACCTCGGGCACCATGGGGAGGATCCCAGCAGGCAGCTGCTGATGACTAAGGTAAGGCATCCTAAACTCATCCTCTTTACTGCCTGGGGAGGGACACAGACAAATCAACGCAAGTCCAAATGCACTGCCTGGAAAAATGTTACAAAGCCCCACCCTGGCCCTCCCTCAGCACAGCACGGGGGGACACAGTGGAGCCAAACACCAAACTCTGTAACTCGCTCACCAGGCACCTGCTGCCACCAGGAACCACGCAAAGACCAGAAGCACAGTCAGATCAGGACAGTGTTAATATCACACTTACTAGTCCCATTTTCATCCCCAGAGCCAGGTTCAAAAAAGGTTACTTTTCTTCCATCCCCTGGTTTCTTTATAGGTGTCTTAAAAAAAAAAAAAAAAGGCCATGAGCATCAATGAAACCATTCAAAAATTAGTTCCTGCTGTCCAAAACTACACAAACACCAACCAGCAATTCTCGGTTTATTCACTTTTAAATAAGAGGGCGCAGGCAGAGCCCCGCCTCCTCCCCAGGCACACACGCAGCCACGTCCGCCTGCCCGGGAAGAGCACCTAAGAGAGGGGCCTCTGCTCTGCGCTCACAGAAGAGGGCAACGTTTAACCAGGAAGCGCCGCAAGACGTCATACTGATAGAGCTGACCAAGAAACTTTTAGGTTGATGCTAAACAATTAAATAAAGACTATTTCCGGGAGTACATGTCCAACTAAAGGGTAAGTTGACAAATCAAAGGAGGAAAATATCACACGATAAAAATTATGCCGAACACAGCAGTCCCCTTTCTGGGAAGATAAAGGTTAGCCTATGATGCCCTGTAAGGTTCTGGAATGGAAACCCCCAAAGCCAAGTCCAGGATCTCTGCAGATTCTCTGGTGAGTGCTTGGGATCCCAGTTACTAACTATGTGGCCACAGCTGATGCCATCCGTCTGCCTCTGCTGACAGCACTGGCCAACAGAACTGAATCAGTCCTGGTATTTTCAAGTTTATCCCAAAAGGACCATCCAGCATCTGGAAACAAGGTCAGCCACGGCTTCTGTTGCGGGTCCTGCTTACCAACCTCGGCAGAAGTTCAATTTTCAACATGGGATCATTTCTATCTAATGTTCAGTTCATAATGAAAAAGAAACCGCAAACTGAGACGATGGCTTGGCCCTGGATCTGACATCACGCTATCCCCAGGTCCCAGGAAAACCAAAGCCTGTTCTAGAATTAACAAAAGCCTAAGGTTGATGAGTCATTTATGGAGGCCTCATTCTAAGAGCACAAATGACAGAATCACACACTGGTTTGGAGCAAGCTGGCCTCCAGCAAAGCATCCCAGACCACAAAGACACTGGAACAGTAATGACCTAACCCAGCGCCATGCCTGGAGCCACGGACGTGCGCCCGCTTCTGAGCACAGTGTAAGGTGCAGCAGGTGAGACCCTGCTCCGCAGGGCTGCTTTACGGCTGGGGCGGGCAGCCGTGCCCTGAAGCTCAGCCCCGGGGAAGCCAGAGTGCCCCGGGTGGTGAGAAGGGCATCTTGCAGTGGGAGCAAGGACACCGAGCCCGAGGGCGCACCTTCTCCTCCGACTTGAGGGCTGGTTTGGAGGGCTGAGACTGTGGGACTTTGAAACCGAGGATCTCCAGCATGTTTTCGGCTGCGTTGCGTTTGGCCACTTTCTTGTTGGTGCCTGAGCCCTCTGCCGCGTGGTTTCCCACCTTCACCTGCAGAAGAAGACAGGACTCGGATCAGTGCTCAAGCCTTCAGAATAAAGACCCGCCAGGAACGGAAAAGAGCCCAGAACGATCAGAAACTGGAAGGCTGCACAGTGCTGCCCTGGAGCTGGTTTGCACCAGCCCACGAGAGCGCATCATGAAATACTGAGAAATTTGTTGGAGAGCTGGTGGTTAAAGGTAGTTATTACTAAACTAATTATATAAGCTTATAATTAAATTACTTTAACCAACAGAGATAATGAATACTTAAAATGCATCACTTCCTAGCTGGACTCCATTTTAAAAGAATCTACGCTCTTGAGGTTCTTGAGACTTGCGCTATGTATTTGCTGTCCACTTGAGGCAACACAGCTCTCTCCTGCTCAGAGGGAGCACTCACACCAGACCCTGGCAGTACTACTTCTCAAGGATTAAGTGACTCTGCTGATTTACCTCTTCTTTTTTTTAACTATCTAAAAAAAAATTTTTTTTTTATTGCGTTATAATCCACATACCATACGATTCGCTTCCTTTACTTGCACAATTCAATGATTTCTGGTATAGTGACAGAACTGTGTAACTGTCACTACAGGCATGGGTGTTTTCTTAGACATAAGTGATAGTTAACAATGCAGATTAAGCTTTACAGTGTCATCAAGCCTGCAGCCATGACGTAACCAGCACAGCAAACTGAAACTTCTAGTCTTGGAAAATTATCTGATATAGCAAAGAAGCTGTTGGTACTGTCTCTGGGAGTTAAGTTTTGATATGTCTTTGCTGTTAATGTAAATAAAAACAGCAGTCAGGACTCACGCTAGTAGCTGTCGCTCAACAACGACATGAGCAAACCTCCCTGCTGGACCGGAAAGAAATAAAGAATTCACACAAGTCTCATTTTGTGACACTGCTACAGGTGACTGCCACGCTGAAGTCACAGACACAGGAAATGTGCAAGAGGGTATTACACAGTCCCTGTAAACTGTGTGCTATACTTCCTACCAGTGAACTCCACCTCACACACAAGGAGAGTCTCCACACCCCCCCCCCCCCCACACTGCCTCCCCTGAGAGCCGCTGCTAAGCACGCAGCACACGTCACGGCTCACCACCCCTCCAAGCTGGTCGCGCTGGTGCTGTCTGTCAGTCACTCAGTCATGTCTGACTGTGACCCCACGGGCTGCAGCCTGCCAGGGGTCCTCTCCATGAGACTCTCTAGGTGAGAATAGTGGAGCGGGTTGCCACCTCCTTCGCCAGAGAATCTTCCCAACCCAGGGATTGAACCTGCCTCTCCTGCACTGGCAGGCTGATTCTTTACCACTGAGCCACCTGGGAAGCTGGTCTTGATGACAGACCAAAACCAAAAGCTTCGTGTCACAAAAGTCAAGGAAACCCTGGCCTGTGAAGAGAGGTGTGAGGCTGAATCCCAACCTGGCATCCACCAGCCATCTGATCCTGGGCAAATTACTGGGCCTCTCCACAAGCTTCAGTTCTCTCTTGTACGTGGAAGGATCATTCCTCTTCCTCCCCTGACGGTGGAGGGAGACACCAGGATAACTGCTGGTGCTCTATAAGCTCTACACTGCTGCACAGTTTTCTGTTTTTCACCAGAAAACACTATGAAATTCCCATCACAAATTCAACTGCCTGTACGAGCAGCTGTTCCCTCTGCACAACCTGAAGTGTAACCCCAGTCCACGGACTCCAGATCCTATGGAAGGATCAGGAGGAGCAGGAACAGATCCTTTACACAGTTTATAAGGCAATATAAACCTCTGAGGGATAACAGAAGAAACAGGCGCCTTTCTGCTGATACTGCAGGCCGGGCGCCGTGCAGCACGCGTTAAGGCATCAAGTTATGGCACAAGCAGCATGATCTCAGTGACATGTGCGGGCGGGGCGAGGCACCGGGCTCAGCCTGCTGAGGGAGGGCGAGGGCCTGGCCCTGGGCCGCCTCTGGCTGAGACGGGAGGACACCGGAGCCCGGCCAGCCCACCTGCATGACAAACTCCCTGCGTCGTGGGAGGCCCCGCTCGGCGAGCAGCACGTACTCCGGCTCCTTCTCCTTCTTCGCCTGCTGGATCTGGGCCAGCCTGCTGATCGGGTTCATCCCCTGGCCATAGTCGGGGCCGCTCTGTAGCTGAGGAACAATCAGGGTAGAAAGCACGTGCTGAGTTAGTCACAGAAAGGACCCTGCCAATTCAGACACCGGGACATGACCGCTGAATACGTCTATGTTCATCTAATGGCTCAGAATTAATCACATCTTTTTTAAACCTTTTTTTTTTCATTGAAAGATGCCTCAATGATTTTGATTGCTCTGAGGTGATTTTAGGTCTTCTTAGCAAACCAGCATCACCATTCATTATGAGTAGGCAAGCATCATCGTAATGTCTGCTTTTGAACAATAAATATCAATGGATGATAATAAATGAAGAGGTAGAAAATTGGGGTAGTTTTAGGAAGAGTTTGTTCAAAGCCTGCATTATCAGGATGGGTTTCCAGCTTTCTTAACGATGACTCAAAATCCAGAAATCATTTATACATTTATATATAAATGTGGAAATGCTGACGCCGTGTGGAAAGAACCTAAAATTCCCACAGGGAATCCTCACCTGCTCACTGGTAACACCCACCGGAGGAGACATTAAGTGGACAAAGGAAACTGCCGCAATGTGCTAACTTTCCTATGCAGAGAATGTTAAGTTGTGTGTGAGAAAAACCTGTATTCTGACAGAATGTGAAACTATATGGACAATCAGAACAAAACAGACCCTGGCATTTCTAACTGTCCCACAATGGAATCCCTCCCTTCTCCGGGAGGGTGGGGGATAGTATAATCTCTGAATGGTCCATGAGCATGACTCAAAAACCCAGAAGGTACATGGGTCCTGACTCCTGGCCCGCCCCAGACACCCCTCTGCCCAGGAGTCTCCCGCACACTCAGAACCGTGCAGCAGGCACGAGACAAGCAGCGGGGGGTTCCTCTCCCCGCAGATGACCACAGCTCCTCGCGGGGACACCTGGGGCCTCCGCCGGGCCCGGCACCTGCCTGACCCGGGGCTCCCGGGAGTGGCACCAGGCGGCCCTGTAAGGACTCATGGAGGCGGGTGTGTGCAGGCCAGCACCCCGCCTCTCTCACCAACCTTCCAAACCCCCAGCTGTCTTCGGGCAATGGAAACGCCCTCTTCTTTCAGGCACATTCTTACCCTGACTATGGATTTTGTTTTCTTTTTGATTCTAGGCTTCACCCGCTCCACTGTAGGCAGGGGTGGTAACTTCTTCAGCTCCTCGAGAACAGCTATAGCAGCGTTTTTCTTTGAAATCTTCTTGCTCTTCCCTTCACCTTCCCCCACAAACTCCCCAACCGACACCCTGGTCACAAAGCTCTTCATGTGGGGTGGGCCGCTCTCCCGGGCAACCTGTTTTGGAGGGAAAGACTGAGTGAAAGCGTGACAGACACGCATTACCGGCTGCGAGGCACACTGCTCAGCGTGAAACCCAGGGAAAGGGCGATTAAGGCCAAGACTCAGTAAATGAAGGCAGTGTCAATGTGGGGAATTCTGAATGCTTTTTCCCCCCTTTTCTTTCTTCCCCCTACTTGTTAAAGTTCTCAGGTCTGATGAGTCCAGAAGAGCCATGGAACAGGGCGCCATTTTCTGTGCCCACCACCCAGGGTCACAGACAGTCCTGAGTTTGGCGTGCTCCCCTGCAAATGGCAGCAAGGCAGCCGGCCCAGCAAAGCCCAGAAATAAATGCAGCACCAAGAGTTCAAGTTTAATGTTTGCTCTGAGCTGCCAGCCAAGACGGAGCTTATTAAATACTGGCTGCTCTGAGCTATAAAAAGGAATGAGAAAATCTCCAAACACGTAAAGTGATTTCTAGCACTTGGTAAGTAAAGAAAGCAAACTGCAAAGAGTGTTAAAAAAAAAAAACGGTGCAGAGTATTAAATCTACATATACATACACACACACATAAACAGACACACGTATGTGTTTATATGCTTCTTTTTTTGCAAAAGGAAACTCAGGAAGGATAAAACACAAACCAATGGAATTAAACAGTTTCCTACAGTAGGTGGGGGGAAGGACTGAGGTAGCGGAACAAGAGGGCACTTCTGAGTATCTTTTTGTGTAGTTTTGACACTTTGGACCATTTACTGTTATACATATTTAAAATATAAGTCAAAAGAAATGGGGGAAAATACGACAATGGATTATGAACAGAAACCTAACTGTGTATTATAATCACACAGAAGGAAGATAAAAATCAAATCCAACCTACATTAGGAAAGATACCCTTGAAAAGAAACAACTGAGTCGGCAGACTTAAAATGCCAGACTTCAAGACTTCCTGTAGTTACAGAATCTGTGAGATCACGGTATTGTTTAGCAATAAACCAACAGATCAATAAAACAGAATGCAGAAACAGACCTGCACATATACAGCCTCTTGATGTTCAGCAAACACAAACCAAAGCAAAAGCAATGGCATTCTCTTTTTTTAATGGCACTGGAGCAACTAGATAACCAAGATCTCAAATTCTACCCAAAACAAAAATTAAGCTAAAACAGCCAAATATGAAAGTTAAAACTATAAAGCTTTAGGAAGAAAACATAAGAGAAAACTTCATGACCATGAGGCTGGCAAAGAATTCTTGGACACAAAAAACACAAACCATAAAGTAAAATTAGAATTCCTCAAAATTAAAATACTGCTCATCAAAAGATAACATTTAAAAAGTAAAAAAGGGGGAGTTTGGGGGAGCATGGATATGTATGGATGGCTGAGTCCCTCTGCGGTTTACCTGAAACCACCACCGCATTGTTAACTGCCTGTATACCCCAACACAAAACAAACAGTTTAAAATCTGGGGGGAAAAAAAGGTAAAAAAGGGAACTCAGAGTATGGGAGAGAATATTTGCAATATATGTACCAAACAAAATTATACCCAGAACACTGAAAGAAATCCTACAAGTCAATAATAAAAAGACAAATACTCAATTAAAAAAATACTTCAACAGGTACTCTTGGCAAGGATAGGGAGCAAGTGGTAGAAGTGTAAACTGGTACAATCACTTTGGGAAATAGCTTGACAATTTTTACATGAACACCTACCCTCTGACTTAGCAACTCTGACTGCACATGCACCCAAGACAACTTAGCACCCTTCTTTATAGTAGTTCTCAACTATCCAATGTCCATTAGTGGAACAATGGACACATTCCATTCCATTCATACAGTGGAATACCACTCAGCATTAAACTACTAAAACATATAGATGGGACTTAACAACAAACAATCCATACTATATTTACATGAAGTCTAAGAACACAGAAAACAAACCTACAGAGACTGCAGAAAGCAGCTGCTTCTGGGTGGAATGGGGCACAGGGACTTAGGTTATGATAAAGTTCCGTATCTTTATCTGGATAGTGAATCATGGGTTTTTACACATGCTAAAATTTAGTGGGCTGTGCACTTAAGATACCTATATTCACTATATAATAGACTGTTAGCACAGAGGAAGAATCATCCAAGAAGTCACGAAAGCAATGCTCTGAAAGGATACACCTTCAGTGTGAAGCTAAAAAGTGTGGAGATAACTTAGACTTTACTTAGGATGTTTGCTGTTGAAGGTGTGGATAAATATATTGATGTTGTTGGGAGCCCAAGTCTCATGATGGGAACAGACCCAAACATGGAGGCATGAAACAGAGGAAGAGCCCTGTGATGACGAACTGAAATTAGAGGGATGAACTTGTGGTTCTGTAAACAGTGTACCTACCTCCTAGTGCTATCTTCTGCTAACAGGGTCTGGAAGCAACGACTTGCAGCAGCAACGAGCCAGCCTCCCCTCAGCCTGGCCCCCACATGCCACTCTGTTAAAGGGAACCGCAACTCCTCGGAAGAACAGCTGAGACCATCTGTATTAGAATTTCCGTTTCTGCCAGGGCCAAAGTTAGAACAAGGAACCTTCCAAGTAAGGCGAAAAGACTGCTGTATCACAAAGGAAGGAAGGTCTCTCAATCAGAAAAGGGGAGCTGAGAGCCAGGACACGGGGACAATAAGACCTCCAAACACAAAACACAAAAGAAAAAAAACCTTGCCTATTACCTCACGAGTACATAAAAAACTTGTAAGTCAAAATGAAACATAAATCTAAACTTAAGAGACAAAACTTCTAGAAGAAAACAAAAGAGAACGACCTTAGATTTGGCAAATTATCTCAGATGGATTACAATCACCATGAACCAATTAACAAACCTGACCTCTCCAAAATTAAATTATTTTTGGTTTTTGGAAGATATTGTTTAAAAATGAAAAGACAAGCCACAGACTGGGAGAAAATATCTGGAAAATACCTAACTGAGAAAAGAACTGTATTCAGAATATATAAAGAACACATAAAATCCAATAATAAAACATAACTCAAAAACAGGACAAAAGATAAGAACAGACACTTCTCCAAAGATGTACAGATGGTAAATAGGCGTATGAAAACATGCTCAATATTGCTAGTATGCATGGAGATACAAATTTAAACCATAAGTTACGACTACACCAACTAGAAACTGACCCTATTAAGTGTTAGAGAGGGTACAGAACAACTAAAGCTCTCATACACGGTGAGTGCTGCGCTTTTTACGTAGCTCAGTCATGTCTGACTCTTTGCGACTCCATGGGCTGTAGCCCACCAGGCTCCCCTGTCCACGGGGATTCTCCAGCCAAGAATACTGGAGTGGGTTGCCATTTCTTTCTCCAGAGGCTCTTCCCAACCCAGGGATTGAACCCAGGTCTCCTGCATTGCAGGTGGATTCTTTATCAGCTGAGCTACAAGGGAAGCCAAAGAATACTGGAGTGGGTAGTCTATCCCTTTCCAGCAGATCTTCCCGACCCAGGACTCGAACTGGGGTCTCTCCTCCACTGCAGGCGGACTCTTCACCAGCTGAGCCGTCAGGGGAGCCCAGTATACAGCTGCCTCGTCGCCTGTCACGCGCCTTCTTTAACGGAGGGCAGATGCTGAGTCCACATGTTGTATGTATCAGTAGCTCATCTTATTTCTGAGTAGTATTCCACTGTCTGGATCCATTTCCCTGCCAAAGAACATCTTCATGGTTTTTAGTTGTTAGTGATTATGAGATTATGTATGTACGTGATAGCTTTAATCATAATCACTGACAACTAAAAACCATGAAGATGTTCTTCAGCTGGGAAACGGACGAGTAAGTTGTGGTGAATTCAGACAGTGGAATACTACTCAGAAATAAGAAATAAACTACTAATGCATACAACACATGGACTCAAAATCTGCACTACATTAAAGAAGCCACATAATAGGCAATAAGATACCCTTGCCAGTACATCTGTAATCTTTTCAAATGATAACTTTCTTTTTTTCTCCCCCCCAATTATTTTTATTAGTTGGAGGCTAATTAGTTTACAATATTGTAGTGGTTTTTGCCATACACTGACATGAATCAGCCATGGATTTACATGTGTTCCCCATCCTGAACCCGCTCCCACCTCCCTCCCCATCCCATCCCTCTGGGTCTTCCCAGTGCACCAGCTCTGAGCACTTGTCTCACACATCCAACCTGGACTGGCGATCTGTTTTACACTTGACAATATACATGTTTCAATGCTGTCCTCTCAGATCATCCCGCCCTCACCGTCTCCCATAGAGTCCAAAAGTCTGTTCTATGCATCTGTGTCTCTTTTTCCAGATGATACTTTCTAAAGGGACAGCACTGAGCACACTGTAGCTGGTGGGCCCCTGTCCCAACGGGAGCGGTCTGAGGGGAGGAGCAGAACGGGACTGCGGCCTTTCTTATCATGGTTCACAATGTAATTACGGAAAGGTCTTGTCTGGGTTGGGTTCTTTAAGATGGCTCTGTATTTTTATGTGCTCTTTCCAAGCTTCTCAAAATGTTATTACCCACTCCTGTTAAATAAACAGACAAAGGGAAAGCCCCAAAAGACAAAAAAAAAAAGGCAGTTATTCAATAATTCCACGTATGTAATATTTTGGAAACAAGCAAAACATATGGACAGACATCAGATCAGTGGCCGCCCAAGGGTGAGGATGGAGGGAAGGGACTGACTGCTAGGGAGCACGGGAAACCTAACAGCGTGAAAGATGTTCTTTATCACAGTGGCGGCGGTAGTTACACAGCTACACTATCAAAACACATCAAATCACATACACAGACAGGACCCATTTTACTTCATGTAGCACTCAAGAAATCTGACCCCTCATCCCCTCACCCCCCAAAAATAACCTGACAGAGGCATGTCAAAGGACATCAGAGCTAGTCTGAAGGGCAATCTGAACATTAAAATGACAAGCGAGAGTAATGAAGTAACATGTAGAATGAATCTATACTAATATAAATTAACGCATTCCCTGGTGGCTCAGTCAGTGAAGAATCCACCTGCAGTGCATGAGACTTGGGTTCAAGCCCTGGGTTGGGAAGGTCCCCTGGAGGAGGCAGGGCAACCCACTCCAGTATTCTTGCCTGGAGAATCCCCATGGACAGAGGAGCCTGGGGTGCTGCAGTCCGAGGGGCCGCAAAGAGTCAGACACGACTGAGCGACTACGCACAATATAAGGCAGGGAGAGATTTTCTTTGGACATGCAGAAAATGAACATTTGACATCCACCACAGGGGTAACTGGTGCTGGGAAGAATCATCAATGACTGCTAGAAACACTGAGGAACTCTCTAAGGACATACACAACCTTCAAGCATCTCCCCACAGGCTATGGGTTAACTACAAAGAGAAAGAAAGTCTCCTTGGAGGGGCACACATCTGGTGCAGACAACAGAACTAGCGTCACTGACTCAGATAAAATGACACCATGCAACACTGAGAAGAACTGACATTAGTTCTGCAGTGTTCCTGTTTTTAAAAAGAAGCACAAACTAGAACTAATCATGAGGCAAAAAATCCAACCAACCCAAATTTAGGGCCATTACATAGAACTGACTTTAAAAAATACCAATGTCATAAAAGACCAAAAAAAGGCCGAGTAACAAATTAAAGGAGACTAGAGAGATGCACCAGCTAAACACAATGTGTGATCCTGTACCAGGCTCAAGACCAGGAAAATAAAGGAGCATCATGGGGACAACGCCAATATGCGAATCCAGGATGTACATTAGGTACCAGTGTTACAGCAGTGTTACGCTTCCTGTGTGGACAATTAGACTGTAGTTATTTAAGATAATGTCCGTGCTCTTAAGATGCACGTACTGAAATATTTGGAGTCAAAGCTCATGGTATCTGCCTCTTGCTCTCAAATGATTCAGCTAAATAAAATACAGAAAAATATGTACATTTAGAGAACAGAAAAGCAAAGGTGCTAAAATGTTAAGCATTGGGGATCCTATGTGAAGGCAACAGTCACGGTCCTATCCTTAAACTTTCCATTGGCTCGAAAAATTTCAAAGAAGTGGAAGAGACGGCGAGGAAAAGGCGTGTGAGCCCACATGTGCTGTGCCCCCAAGGCGAGAGCGGGGGCACCTCAGATCAGGAAGCAGCCCGCTGCCCTAAAAAGGAGGCTGTGGCAAAGAGCCCTGCTCCCGAGGCGCCCGCAGGCTGATCTCAGCAAGCCCGCCGGCAGCCCCCCTACCCCGACGGCCCGTCTGCCGAGCACTATCTCCCTGAGCAGGGCTCTCCACGTCCTGAGACTAGACTCGAAAATTAACAGTAGCCACCCCAACGGTTCACGTCAAATCCACGCCCATCCTGGGCCCTCCAGCAGCCACTCTTATTGGCTGCTCACATCATAAACCCACCACCGAGCTGTGTCTGCAATCTGACCTGGAACATATTCAGTGGGATCAGGTCACGGCTGCCTCCCAGGGACTTGTCAGTCAGAGCCATAATACTTTTAACTACAACAATTTTATCAAAAAGCAAACCGTCTATAAACTTTTCTGAAAAATTATATGAATGGTTCTGGTCTTCTCCTATTGCTTCCAACATGACATATCTTGCTGTCAAAAAAAAAAAAAAACAACAAAAAAAAAAACCCCTATTCATTTACTCAGTAACTGTTTCCTGAGCATCCAATATTCAATATACGCCAACTAATCTTCCAGGTGCCAGAGACAGAACTGTGGGAAAAAAATGAAAGCTCCTGCTCAACCTAATAATGGAAGCTAACATGAACATTTGATCAACGTGAGAGCTAATTAATAATATAAGCACTCATATTGATAAACTCAATGCCACACATACACACAAACTGTCGTGTTTTAAAAGTTACTTTAAAAGACAGTCACCACTAGAGGGCACTCCCACAATTTCCTCTGTGACTACCTGACGACTCCCTGCTGTGTGTTCCTTATTCAACAGCAAAGTCTGAAGGGCAAGTCTAAAACCTGAACACAAGTCGGCTGGGGCAGAGGCAATCTCGTCCCCGAATTCCACAGCAAAAATAGGAGTTGGCAATCCCTTACTGAGACCCAGGGAACTCGGGGACCCTCAGGCAGAGCAGAGATCAGCGTGAGCAGGCGAGAAGCATCACTGGGGTCGCGGGCCCTGGCCAGCAGTCACCTCTGTGACCTGAGAAGGCAGGCCTCTCCTACCCCAGTCTTCGCACCCCTCCCCCTCAGGTCTTTAAACACGCATTCGTGTGCCACACTAAATCCTCAGCAGGGACTAGTGTGGGGAAAAGTGTTTCTTCCCTTTTCCACAACAGGTTCCCAGGGAGACCTTGTGGCTTCCTCAGGTGGAGCGCCCACCTGGGTCCCACCCAGCAACAGCCCTGTTACTCTGAACGTCCCGTCTCACTGCCTCCCTCCCAGAACAGGGAGAGAGGCTGGGAGGGATGCGGGGCCAGGGAGGAAGATTCCAGCCCCATCTGGCGTGCTGCGCTCTGGAAGGGGGGCAAAGACACTCCTGCCTGCTGGGGCAGGGCGGGGTGCTGCCGCGGGATGCAGGGTGGCCCTGTGACCCAAGGGCGGCTCCCCACCCTCATCTGGGCCTCATGGCAGCAGGTGAGCACGGCTGGCTAGGTCAGAATTCATCACTATTCGAATGAGAGAGTAAGGACTGAACTCAGGAGCCAGCTTAGGGCACTAGTATATAACAGGAGATGTCTTATAAAAGTCATGGAAGTCAGACATGAAATCTGGGGATTACCTATTTTACAGGATAATACATTTCAGGCAGGCTTTTTAAAACAGAAATAGGCCCAAAGAACTTATGAGCCACTTGGAATGGTTTTCAGCGGATGTGCTGCACTTAGTCACTCAGCTGTGTCTGACCCTGTGACCCCGTGGACTGAAGCCCACCAGGCTTCTCTGTCCATGGCATCTCCCAGGCAGGAACACTGGAGTGGGTTGCCACTTCCTTCTCCATTTAAGCAGATGTCCCACCTCAGATTTCATTTGTCTGAAGTAACTAATATGGTGAGCTTAAAGTGCTTTGGAAAACTAATTATATATATACTTTATAATTTTGAAAAACCAAATAATTGATTTAAAAAACTATTAAAACACAATCTTGCATAGCCAAGCACAGATCAAATGAAACAATTTGCAAATAATTTTCCAAAGCTAGGGAAACCTAAAATAAAAAAAAATACCCCTGACCTGCCTAATCAATCTGGACTCACTGTGTGTTTGAAGGAAACATACACTAAATGATCTTATTTTCCATTTTGAACTAGTGATTGTTAATTACTGTTCTTAGACCATGAAGTCTCCAACAACAGTTTGAGGTTATTAAATGGGCAAACTGGGAGGCACACGCTGGACAATGACAAAACCGAAGTTCTTTTACCAACTGCTCAGGCACTTAAGCGGAGTCTTGATATTTGGGGGGTAGCATACGCTTCTGAGAGTCTTATGAAGGCAATGGACCCTCCATCCAGAAGAAAACACATGGCAACATAAACATGATCCCCTTCAGGCCATTTTAGGAGGTTCCTGGACATACTGAGGCCACCAACGGACTGTCTGGAGACTCACGGCTGCCCTAGGACCAAATACTGCTTTGCTAAATATGAAGTCCAAATCTCAGATACGAAGATTCGCATATATGTGATCATCATTCCAATGTTATTTAAGAAGAATACTATTTTGATGATGAACATCAAGAGTATAATAGATGCATAAAATAAGCTTACCTCAAAATTCACAGGCAAGTTCCGTTTAAGTGCAATCTCAAACACTTGACTTATTTCAGATTTATTGAGATTTTCTTCTTCTGACTCTCTTCCATTTACCTAAGGGAAGAATAACCGGTTAGCAGTTAACACATGTTAGAAAGCTGTCAAGATCCCAGCTGCGATGATAAACCTTAAAATTAAAAGCCCTGAACCTGTGTGGACTGAGCACTAACCCCGTGATCAGGGCGACACGTGCACTGTGTGTCAGTGAGATTTAAAAGGTTTTAAAAAATGTCCTATCAAATTTTAGTCAGTTTGTACCTCATTAATCCACCATAAACCATCCACACATAACAGGGCTCTACATATAATCAGCCTGATGGTGAGAGCCGCGGCTGCTCGGGGAGCGGGGCTCCCGAAGCCCCCTGGATCTGTCCCCCCCCCCCCCACCCCGGGGACAGGCAAGCCACACCCTGGAAGAAGTCCAAGCACAGACAGTCGAGCTGGGCCACAGCAAGGACAAGGGCAGGTCTCGCCACCGGGGTGTGTGGGTTTCTTATTTGGACAAAAAGTCGCTAGAAACCACTTTTAAAAAAGATGCAGTGAAAGAGTTACAAAACCACTACGGGTCTCACACGTGACTGCTGCTGGCAAAAATGCAAGATGCTAACGAACAGAACTGCCTGCCGCTCAGTCACGTCCGACTCTGCGACCCCAAGGACGGCAGCCTCCCGGGCTCCTCTCCACGGGATTCCCCAGGCAGGAATACTGGAGTGGGCTGCCGTGTCCTCCTCCAGGGGTCTTCCTGACCCAGAGATCAACCACATGACTTTTATGTCTCCTGCACAGACAGGCAGGTTCTTTACCACCAGGACCACGAGCCTTCAACAGAAGCGGCCTCCAGCTCTGTAACAAGGCTCGTTTACAGCCCTCCAGTGGGGGCTGAGGGGGCAGAGAGCTCCGCACACGTGGCCCACATGGCCTCTATACTGCGCAGGCGTGACAACACGACAAACAAGATCCGCAGTGACCCCAAAACATGGCAAGGCACCGTGTTTTTCTTATTCCCGGGGATTCTTTAGTCAAAGAAGTTCTGAAGTCCTAGTTTAAAGATCAGAATTTCTATGACAGGAACCTGTGGCTGAAATTACTGAACAGGCAATGTGTAGCAAAATACAGGATTTGATCTGTTGTGTATTTCTTGAGGTAGAGCCTAACCCTAACTTAGGATCCATATTTCAAGCTATACATAAAAGCTCTAAATTAAAAAAATAATTAAGAATAGGATCCTATACACATACATTTAACCAGACAATGTAATTCTGTCTCTCCTTTCGTGATAATGTTTTCTTTCCATCTGGTTTCATTTCACTCACTGCCTGGTGATATACTGTTTACATAGCAATTTCTGATGGTTTAGTAAGCCGAACACATTTTTTCACTTGTTGGTAAACCCTGAAGAGGAAGAGGGCCTGCCTTTTTATGAGTGAATCTTTAAAGCCATAAGTCTCCAAGCAAGGTGTCTTAGAATTCTAGGGTTCCACAGAGGTTTGGCTAAAAATTTATTTTTTAAATAGGTTTAAACAAACCTATTAAAAAGCATTTTAAAAAGTAAGCCTGTTCAACAAATAGTGCTGGGAAAACCAGATTATCTACACACACAAAAAATGAAGTTGGACTCTTACCTCATACCACATTCACAGATAAACTCAATGGATCAAAGACCTAAATGTAAGGGCTAAAAGTATAAAACTCTTAGAAGAAAACACAGGGGAAAAACTCCATGACACTGGATTTGGCAATGATTTCTTGGATAGAACACCAAATGCAAATGTAAATTTTGACTTCATCAAAATTTAAAACTTTAGTACAAAAATCTACCCAAAAAATGTTGGTACACTAAAGGACACAAGAAAACAAAGACAACCCATAGGATGAAAGAAAATACTCACAAATCACATATTTGATAAAGAATTAATGTCCAGAATACATGAAGAACTACAACAACTCCACAACAAATAATGCAATTCAAAAATGGAGAAAGGATTTGAACAGACATTTCTCCAAAGGAGATACGCAAATACCCAACACATCACTACTCAAAGAGAAATGCAAATCAAAACCATAATGAGATACCACCTCACACACATAAGGACAGCCACAGAAAATGGCAAATGTTGTCAAGGTTGTGCAAAAATTGCAATCTTTGCACATTTCTGTTGAAAATGTAAGATGGTGTAGCCTCTCTGGAGAACAGTATGGTGGGTTTCTAAAAAATTTAAACATGGAGTTACAATATGATCCAGCAATTTCACTGCTAAACACATACTCAAAAGAATTAAAAGTAGGTATTCAGATACGTGTACACCAATGTTCACAGCAGTATTATTATTTACAATAGCCAGAAGACGATAATCACACAAACATCCATCAACAGATGAATGGAGGAAAAAAACATGGAACACAGATACAATGGTCAGTCTTAAAAAGGAATGGAGGGGGGCGGGGAGAACGGAATTGTGAAACAAGCTACAACACAGAGGAACCTTGAAAAATTATGATAAACGAAATAAGTCAGACACAGAAAACAAATGTGCACTTACACAAGGCATCTGCAGCAGGTAAGCGCAGAGACAGAGGCAGGAGAGAGGCTCCCCGCAGGCCCGAAGACAGCGGGGGTGGGGGGGCAGAGTGACTGCCGAACGGGCCCACGACTCCTGGACTTTCTATGTGACGTGATCAAAGGGTTTTGAAAATGGATCGTGGGACAGCTACAGAGCACTGTGAATGTATTTAAGGCCACTTTTTGTGCACAACCACATCTGTTGACAGCTGTTTATTTGAAGAGTTCAGAGATTTCTACAATACATGAGCTATTTTTCAAAAAATACATGAGCTATTTACATACTCTCATGATATGTAACTCTGTCAATGAGACTGTTTTCCTTAGGTGCAACCAGAACCAAATTTGGAAATAAACCAGGTGCTGCTGACACAAGACTTCAATTGCCATTCATGTACCCCAATTTTCTTTTTTTGTTGTTCATTATACCAGTTCAATTCCTTTTAATTTTTACTTTTAGTTTTGACCTGTTTCAAACATACAGAAAAGTACAGATAATAATGTAACACACAACTCTACCGGATATAACAAACGGCAACACTAAACACCACTGACATTATTTTTCTCCTTTCATAAAGAAAACAATGAAATCCTTCTCACACTCCTTCCCACAAGAGAGTTAACCACTACTCTAAAATGGGACTGGAACTTTCCCAGCCATGTGGGTTTTTGTTGTTGTTTTTTAATGGAAAAAAACAATATATAGAGTAATTTGTTGTTGTGAAAATTCAGATAAATCATTCTCACTGACTGCCTTTATAAATACTCTAAAATTCAAACTGACAAGTTCTGCTAATGAACTTAGTCACTTTTGTATTTTGCACACTGAGGTCCCGCCTAGTCTAGAAGACACCTAGTCTGGGGACCCCTGAGTCTATGGGAGCACCTAATCTAGGGGACCCCTGAGTCTAGGGGAACACCTAGTCTAGGGGACCCCTGAGACCAGGGGAATACCTAGTCTAGGGGACCTGAGTCTAGGGGAACACCTAGTCTAGGGGACCCCTGAGTCTAGGGGAACACCTAATTAGGGGACCCCTGAATCTAAGGGACCCCTGGTCTAGGGGACCCCTGAGTCTAGGGGAACCCCTGAGTCTAGGGGAACCCCTGAGTCTAGGGGACCCCTGAGTCTAGGGGAACACCTGAGTCTAGGGGGACCCCTGAGTCTAGGGGACCCCTGGTCTAAGGAACACTTGGTCTAGGGGACCCCTGGTCTAGGGGACCCCTGAGTCTAGGGGAACACCTGAGTCTAGGGGACCCCTGGTCTAGGGGAACACCTGAGTCTAGGGGACCCCTGGTTTCCCACTGAACCCTAACCCTCTGTCAGTGTTCCTCAAACACAGCAGCGGCAGCATCACATGGGAGCTGCACAAATACAGATGCCAGAGCCCCGCTCCAGATACGTGAACTCAAATTTCTGCAGGTAGGGCCTGGATATCCGTTTTATACATGGTATTTGTTTTTTTGTTTTTTAAAAAGTCCCCTAGCGACCACAGTTGAGATTCACGGCTCGAAGCTACTGCTTCAAACAAAACTGCAGATTGGACAAAGCAGCCAGTAAAATAAAAATGCAAATCAGAAAACAAAATATACATATATCTGGAAGAGAGATTATATTGCTCTTTTACATAAATAATTTTAATATTATCTAGACTGGACAAAATGTTGCAATGGGGGAAGCAGCAAATGACTCAAAAAAAATCCACAAATATCATTCCCAATGAGATGAGGAAACTGTAGCGGGCCCTTAGTCTTACCTTCAGGAAGTGGGAATTACTGTTAACATCAATCCCATAGTGTATGGTTCAGCAATAAAATCTAGGCAACATTAAGGAAAAAAAAACAAAAACACTCTGAACCATGCTTAACCCTCAACATGCCAGGGAAAAACAATCATCACCATTTACCATCCAGCTCCAATGGACCCTCTAGATTTTTCTATATTTAAAGTCATTTTATATAGCATTGAATCATGTATATTATCAAGCGTGAAACAGATAGCCAGTCCAGGGTGGATGCAGTGCTCAGGGCTGGTGCACTGGGATGACCCAGAGGGATGGGAGAGGGAGGGAGGTGGGAGAGGGGTTCAGGATGGGGAACACATGTAAATCTATGGCTGATTCATGTCAATGTATGGCAAAAACCACTACAATGTTGTTCAAAAAAAAAAAGTCATTTTACAAATAACATACAGAATAAAAGGACAAAAAAAATCATTCCATCATAGATTTTAATGAGAAAATTAAAATAACAAACCTAACTTTTTATTCTAGGTTTGTAGTCAGGAATGAAGGCAAATATACCCAAAACAGGCAAAGACACTAAACACAACTAATGGCTCAGCAGCTGCCACGCCGGAACTTAAGAGCACAGCCCACAGTAACGATGCCAGACTTCAAACCCACTCCTGTGGGTTCCAGCTTATCATGATTCTAATTCTTCTTGTACTCGTATTGTCAAAACATATTACTTTTGAAAATGACTCATAACCGTTGAA